TAGTTGGCCCCTTTAGAATGCAATGCATCATACTGCACCTTACCCTTGCACTGTAGCTGTTTTCATGACTGCAGGCAGCTGCAGTTCACCCATCTTCACTCTGTCAGAGGGCCTCAGCCCTGTCCAGCCACCCTGTGACTGAATATAGGCTTGAATTGTTGCCTTTGGGGTAGGAGAGGTATTGGCCTCTGACAGGTCTGCTTGATGAGCTGGAAAGCTCTGTACTGACTTACTCCCAGCGTGTTATAAAGTGTCCAGACTGTAACTGCAGTCACTGCTTTTCAAAGTGGGGAAAGAAACACTCCAACCAACAGTGCTGTGTGTTTCCAACACTGGTGTGAGAGGAGTTTTTAGTTGACATGGTAAAACTCAGCACAGATGCTAATGGCATTGCTGAAAGAAGTGCAGTCATGGTGTTCTAAATATTCTGTGACAGCATTTCAGAATAGAAACTGAGCGCAGTGGCCCCATGGCTTTAGTTGCTGTTGAGATTAGCAGTGGAATAATCAGGTCTCAGGGACCTGTCAGCAGCCCCACATGGGCCTCATACACTGAGTGATGGACACTATATGGAAACAGCAATATAGACCAGAACTCCAGAAAAGAAAACTGTTTGCTCTCAATAACTGTCGAATCTTAAGTCAAACAGCTTTTTTGCTCATAAATGCTATCACAATTTTACTTTGCTAGTCACTTTGGACTTTAGACACTTCAAATCTGCCTTACGGGAGTTTTAGTTGAGCAACATAATTTTCTGCATCTTGACTTGTAATAGCTCTTGAATATCAAGAGCATGCTGCTTTCAGTTTTGTGAACTGCTGAGGCTTGTATTTGCTCTTACTCTACTGGGGACCCAGCTTGGTTCGCATGCCCATAGGTGTTTTATAAACACGAAAATGAAATCTTAACATTTGAACCTTGTCTTTTAACGACCCCCGTTTCAGATTCATTAAAGATGAGTTTTGGTCACGGAGAGACCATGTGTGTTGAATTGCTAATTGGAAGGTTTTTGCAGCTCTTTTCCGATTTTGCTTTCAGTGAAGTGAGTGATTTGCATTGTAAATCACGATGCTTGTCTAGGTTGGATGTCGATTTGCTGACGTGAGCAGCTGAGAAGTCATTTGCCCTTGTGCAAAGAAAGAATGGGATATTACCACGAGACACAGGCACTGTGAATAGCTTGGTTCCGGTAGAAGTCTCAGCAGTTAAGCACCCCATCTCTGCTCCAGTGAGTTGATTTTTCCAGACACCAGAGCTTTCTAAGGAATAAACAAACATAAAGTCAAAACCTTTTCTCCACGTTTACATAAAACCCATAAAACAAGCCTTGGTCTTAATGAACATTTTATTGGCTCATAAAGCTTTGATATTTGGGAAGTGGTTGAGCAGCCAGACCTGGGAGGCTATGTTGTGTCGTGTTTCATTTCTGCTTTACTTTCTGTTGCACTTTTTTTCTTTTTCTGTCATGCATGCATGACACCCGGAGCCAGGTTTTTACAATTTATTTGTGCATTCAAATAACGTTAAATATCTTCCTTGCATTTGGAAATCTATGCATGTAGTCAGAGCATGATATTATGGGGTAATGTGCTGAAAAAACCTTGCAAATACAATCTGAAATTGACCAAAAGAAATAAGCTTGACTGAACTGGGCAGAATATATATACCTCAGGGAAGAAGAACTAACCCTTTTGCCAGTAAAAGACTTGACAATTGTTTTGATTTGACCCAGATTTGGAATAACCATTTTGTTGGTTTTTTTCTCACTGCAAACAGACAAGTGGCTGAAGGAGGAAGAGTAGGCTGATTCCTTTGACCTGCCCACCTTCAGTGTGTGTAACACACTCCTGTGTCAGACGTTAAATGCTGACTGCGTTGTTGATAGGGGAATCTCGGTCACAGTCAGCTTGTGAAGTGATCCAGGCTCAACAACATGATCATAAAGCATAACCTGCACTAAAAAGTTCATTCTGAAGATGGGAGAAGAGCACCCTGACTGAAATTCCCTTCCTAGTTTGTAAAATACATTTGCTTCCCTTCCCTTTTTTTAGTTACAGAAATAAAATCAAATAACACTTTAGAAGTGGAAGAAAAAGGTCTGGGTGTTTTTGAGCTGATGTCTGTGTGCAGCGTGATGAAATGATCGAGTCTGATCTGGAGTCTCCTCAGGCAGCCAGGTGTGAAACAGCAGATGATAGCCAATTATGACTCATTACTGCCTATTGGATTCATTAGGTGCCAAAATTACATAAAATGTAAAAGGGAATAAATACAGGGGAGGGAGATGGGAGCATAGCCATGGGGCTTTTTTTTTGTTGCATCAGGAGATGAAGATGATCGCCGGAAAAGTTACTCTACACAATTCTGTGCATATACAGTAGCACGCTCGCACTTAACAAATTCTTTGTACTGAAACTGAGAGAGCAGTGCTTTGTGAAAAAGTGACTTCTGCTCTTGTTCTGTTTTACAGCACTCTTGCCTAGTAACCTAGTTTTGTCTCATTTTCCAACACTGCTCTATTCATTTCTTCTTACGGGATATTCATGATTCTGAAATACGAATATAGTATACAATGCATTCTAAAATAAAATTTATTTAGCTCATGAATTTAGATAACTTGTATTTTACAAAAATACCAGAATAGTATCGTGAGCCTGAGCCAAACCTGTAAAAAACGGCGCTATCTTCTTCATATTCTGTAATCATGAAGGATAACCAGAACCCTCTCAAACTGCTTTTTGACATTCCTCCTCTTTGTGGATTCAATCCTTCAATCTTGAGATACTTTGTGTCTGTATTGGCAGAGACATGCCATGCAGCGTCGTTTTCTGTGATTCCTCACACAGCTTCTTCTGTTTGTCAGGTTCTGTCCTGTTTCTGTTTCTGTTTCTGGCTTATTCTGCATTCTCCATTATGTACCCGAGAGCTGTGTTAATTCAATGTTTCACTTGTGTAGCAGAATGCATTTCTGGTAGGATTTAAGGTTTCTTTGTAATTGTATAATGTGATCCTTTTGCCTTTGTTTTGTGTAAGAAGGCTCAAGACCTTATTCAAAGTCAGTCCTGGATTGGGGTGCTCTTTCATATTTTCCAGGTTTCACAATATGTAGAGAAGGGCCTGACCCATAGTGCTTTTCACACTTGCATCTAAATATCTAAACAAACCTTTCTCAGAAAATAGTCAAAAGATACTTCTGTGTCTGTAGAAGTTCCCTGTTTATTTTATGTTTGAATTACTGAGCATTCACAAATATTTTAGACAGATGTATTAAGGGCCAGTGAAAATAGCAAAAATGGTGTAGTCAAATTTTGCAAACCCGTAACTGTCAGCCCCAGCAAAATGTCTAATCCATCGCCTAAAGTATCTCATATTATATGACACAATAACCTTTCCATTCTGAGAGAGACCTACAGGTTGTCTCAGTGGAGGGCTAAGAGTGCTTTTCTGTAAACACCACGTAGTTACAACCTATCACTCCTAGCCTTCACCTTATAGTGTGGTTTGCATTAGCCAGGCACATAGTGTGATGCATTTCAAAGCAGTTTTCTAAGTGGTTTGTTTTATAGAAGTCTCTCAACAGGATGAATAACATTATAATTGCCGTGTATTTTGACTGTGTCACCAGCAATGAATTTGTAACCTGATTCACATATGGTTTTTTATTCAGGGAAGTCAGGATTCGGCGGTTCAGGTCTGGCATATAATGAGCTTATTTTTGTGTGTTATAGGGACCAACCCCTGGGCATTGCATTGAGCTAAAGTTGCCAGGTTGTTAAAAGTGATTTTATTTTTTTAAACCTTAAAGTGTCATAATGTATCAACTGAACAAAAACATCATCACCCATCTTGAAGTCTAAAGTGTTTCAAAGAATACAAACAGAATAGTGCTGTATAAAATAAATTAACCTTCACAGGACTGCTTAGTAAGCTAGATTTCTTTGGGCACCTCCAAGTTAAGAAAGCCTGAAGGGGTTAACTGATAAAATGCTGTTGCATGAAAGACTCAGCTTCCACATGACAGCAGAAACATTTCTTTTTGGTCAGCTATCAGATATAATTAGTTAACGATTACCAGAACGGGATTCAGGTTGCTTATGTAACAGCCTGGCCTTTACCAAGTTAAATTCAAAGAGTCTTGCATAGTGTATAAATTAGCACTGATCCTTTCTTAATGTCCATTCGTTCCAAAAATACCAAAACTGATGTCAACAACATAAAAAAATGGAAACCTCTCTTTGTAGAAGTTCTTGTGAGTGGTGATTAAAGTCATAAAGATGTAGGAACACAATTTCAGTGCTTCTGCTGAAGGCAGCTTGTCTTTCGCATGCTCTGTGCCAAGCTGTCAATATTCTTGTCAGCTGCTCTTGTTTGTTTTGTGTAGACGTATGTTGGCAAAAATAGAGGACAGTGTCACGAAGGGACAGAGCTACTGACAGGAAGATCACTGAGAGATTGGCAGCCATTATCAGAAGAATAATTATTTGTTGCCCAACGACATGGCGACATGTACCCCTACCTACCTTTACCCGCAAGCTTAAATGTCCTCCCCTCTCTTAAATCCATATTTTCCCAAATATATAATATCTACATCTATGCAAAAAAGTGCCTAAATGTTTGTGATATGCACAATTGGAGCCCATAACATACTGTATGTTGGAAGTGGCCATCCAAATAACGTGGTCAAAACACAAGTGGTGAAGACTGTAACACTGCTGGGTGAATGTTGGAAATGCTGCCGGTAATGTCGATGCAAAGTGCAGATTTTCATATCACAGACCAAAAGTTCAATATTTAATGGCATTTCTTTGGGGGCGGCTGTTTAAACAAAATACGTTGCATTTGATATTTTGGTAGTTTCTTCTCTGTCTGTCATTGTCAGCCCCCACGTTTCCTTTCCTCTCCCATCTGGGGCTGGATGAGTCCAGATGGGTTGTGGAAACATGGCCGGGAGGAACACTGAGTCTGTGCCAGGTCGCTGACCCTCTCCTCTGTCCTTGTAGAATGACTGGCCGCGAGTTCTTCACGCGCTTTCCTGCCCTCTACCCCTTCCTGCTCAGACAGCTTGAGGCTGTGGCCAGCACTGTGGACAGGTAAGCCAGCTCGGGTTTGATTCCTTCTTCCCTTCTTGTTTTTTGCAACACATAGAATCATGAACATTCAACACCTGCCTTAAAATAGAATAATGAAAAAAGAGCATAATTAATACAAAATACCTCTCCTCCCTCTCCCACCATCGGGCTGGTACCCCTCTTTGTCGATCCTCAAAAAGTATACAGTTCACAGATTAGATAAGAACAGATAGGTCTTTTTTGGATATTATGATTTTCACGCTGTCTTGTGAACCTAAAATCCTGTAAAACTGAGAAGATATTCAGGTAGGGTGCTGACATAAATCGGCACACAGGACAGAAAAAGTTGTTGGATTTTGCGTTTCTGTATTTAAGAAATCATCCCTGGAGCTTGTCCTGGAGGGCAGCAGAGGGTTGCTGTATTTGTTTCAAAGTTTGTCTCTATTACTGAATTGAACTAATTACTGTTCTGTTTAACTGGACAAATTGAACATTGTTTCCAGGTCTGAAGCAGCTGATAGTTTGGAAGATAACCAGTGCACAAGACAGCAGCCCTCGAGACCCAATTTCAGCTTCCCTTGTGTAGTTTCCCTCATTCGTTCTCTTGCTTGTTCGTTTGGACTCCCTGGTTTGAAAAGCATTTTTTCATCCCACTCAGGCTCAATCTCGTACTTTAGAGGGCTCTTCTTTCCTCTGCTCATCCAGCAGTTATTTTATGAATCACCAAGCTTGGTGCCGACACACCAGCGAGTTGTACTGAGTAATTCCAGCATTGCTGTTTTGTTTTGTTTTTATGACTGCTACCCAACAGTGATGCAAGCCCATCTTAGCCAAGTGTTCTATGAAAAAAATACATTCATGAAAGAAAAATACACTGTATATGGGTCTCCTATAAATCTTTATAATATCATGAATAGAAATAAAATATAAAATGGAAAACAACTTGGATGGGTATTACTTAAAAACACATTAGGGTTTTATGTTTCCAGTTAAACCGAAAACAAATGTGCTTATTATGTTAAAAGCACTCTGTTTTTATCCCTTCTGACTGAGTGCTTAGTAGAGCCACATATATGTACTGTATCTTACTATTACATACACCCCTTTATTTATGACCCATCTAGCTCTGACTTTTGTATTGGCGATCTTCAGCTCACTGCAAGAATATTTTGACCTTTAACTCCATGGAGTGATTAAAACCTTGTAGCTTTATGCTTTTTGAATTTTGGATAGACACTGATACATATATAGTTCAGGGTTATATACTCTATATGTATATTGTTGTCAGTGACACCACATTTAAAGAGCTGTTAAAATAGATCACATCATTCTGTGTCTGTAAATTAAGTGTAATTTTAAATGCTTCTTTGAGTGAATGTCAAAAGCTTTAAAACGTTCTTCCAACTGTTGTCTTTTGACTAACTAAAGCTGTTGTCATTTTCAGTCTCAGACTGTGAAATTGTGTTGTAACAACTGCCCATCTGTTTTTGTGACACTGAAGGCTGGATCTGATGCTTTTATCTGTGCTGTTCAGCAACCCTCCGATTGCTGAAAGCACGGAGTCTCGCTGTGCTGCTGCAGCTGGTAATGGGACACCAGCCCCATTCATGTGTTTGTAATTCCCTTTTCCATCCTGGAATGACATCACAGGTCTATCTAGGCAAACATTGTACTGATCAAACAAATGTGAAATTAGACACTAAATAAATTACCGTGCCCATAATAAGCCAAGCTTTAGTTTTCATATTCCTGTGATCTTAAACCCCCCCACCCCTTTGGGACCCATCATAATTGAAGATTGGTTTTTGTTTAATTTAATAATTGTGTAATGAATTGTGCCGTCACGGTGCTATCAATGCAGAGTTAGGATGGGTTATTGTTGCAGTCCCATTGCCTCCGAAGCTGCGAAGCCTAGGTCCTGCATCGCTGACTGAATCTTCAGAGCCTGGCTGGGTTATTTTCTAAGGTTTTGTCAAGTTTTCGGGTCTGTTAGTTATGTGGTTGTTTCATTTTTTAATATTGCCACTGAGTTGCTTCCCTTAAACCTATAAAAAACTGCTGGCAGAAACCTTTAATTTCCATTCCTCAGTCAAGAAAAACAGCAAGGCCTTAAATTTCTATAAAATCGTTTCTTTCCTGCGCAGCTGGACCTTTTGTGCTCTCACAGGGCTCCTCAGATGACTGCCTGCTCTCTGCCTGTGTTTTTTTTTTTGTTAATGCTGGTTTGTTATTTTCATTTTCATTTGATCCTCTTCAATTGAAAGTTTTTTTTTATTTCTCATTCGATTTTTTCCCCTGCATTGTCCTCTGCAATACCATGAATACATTTTATTTAATCTAATATCCTCCTTAGAACACCTGCTTTAATAGCAAATCTGGAGGCTTGAACAATCTTGAACCCTAATAAAGAAGAAGGATCCCCTGTATGTCCTATAACAATACAACCCTTAAAACTCATTACATTCAATTTGCTGCCAGGCAGATTTTGTACAGGGAAAGATCATTTGTAATTGCACTTCGGGGTAACTCAAACCCGATGCCAGTCTGATTGTTCTTCTCCTCTGTCCTCCTTTCTCTCACTTTTGGTATTCTACAGTGATTCAGGGGTTCTGAAGCTGCACCCCAACCTTTTCCTCCTGCTGCTCCTCCTGGGAAAGCTGTACCCCTCCCCCATGGATGGATTCTCCTCTCCCCTAGGCCTGGCACCCTTTGTCCCCTTCATCGCCAGGTGAGCTCCGTTCATTCCTCGGCCATGAGAAGAGATCGCTTTTGTTGAAGTGCCCCCTTTTTTCTGGTTTTATAAGACCTGTAAAGTTCACCCGCTGAATGTTTGTGCTCCGTTTGGCTTTTGAAGGTCGCAAGGGAGAGTACAGTGCACAATAACCAGCCTGTCTGCGATGGCTAACGTGCCTGCTGAAAGGCCATAGTAACAGCAGGCGAAAGAGATAGCAGTGTACAGTGGGTGTAATTCAAAGTCCACACATTTGCAGACAGACGGAGGACAGCAGACATCGTATTGCATATCGTAAAAAAGTTTTTAGCCTCTGTATAACACAATATATATTATAAACACAATTACAGCACTGTGCAAAGTTGCATCGTGCAAATTTCCCATGCATATATGGTGTTACAGGAAAATGTTTGGATTATAATGTGATGAAATAAGTTAATCAGTAAATAATATATTATACAATGTTGGCAGCACATGAACTGAAGGATTATGGCTGCAGTTGCCAGTCTATTGCAGTCTCTGGCCATTCTTTTACAAATTGAGTAAAAAGCTTGTTGTGCTATTTTTTACTGCCATGCAATAAAAAACAACTTAAAGGATCTTCCATCATTCAGTTTAAAGGTACCGTACATTATAACCCAGGCGTTATAAAATCGCATTTTTTTTCTTTTTATCCATTAAAACATTTGGAAAACCTTTTTTTCTCCTGTTATTTTTTAAAAAGTTTGGTATTCGTGGTGGAAGGCACAGTAGCCAATGAGGCAAACAGACCCATTTCTATTTTGGACAGCTAGATACGTGTGCTGTACCATTGTGATTTGAACTTTGATGAACATAGAGATGAGACCATGAAGAACACATTTTCCAGGACAATGGTGTGCACTGGTGTCCACCAGATGTTGAACCCTAAGAAAGCCCCATGGTATCCCCTCTATTCAATACAGTGATGTCAGTGTCTTTGAGTGCGTATAGCTGGGGCCATAGTAATTTATATGTGTATTAATTGCCACACAGATCAGTGTTTGTGATAATCATTTGATTAAGCCAATTCAATTTTATAAGCATCTTTATATGAGCTATGCAGGTGTATTAAATAACTGAATTAAAATATGGCAACTTCTATTTGCACTATATATTCTGTGAGTTACTTGATATTTACAACCTAAATTAAACAAATCCCATTATTTTCACGATAACACTAAATTAAACAAACAGTTAAAACATTAACCTCATGAAACCAAAAATAACATTTAACATTTTTAAAATGTCATCTGTAAAATTTCTCCTTTGAATCCTTTCAATTTTGTTTAACCTTTAGTGATTATTTTTTCCTTTCTATTTTGTTAAAAGAAGCTAGAAAAATGCCATAAAATGTAGCAAACCTCCAGACCATATTTAAATCTTATGATGTGCTGTGTTTGTGTGGGTTAAATCTCAGATAATCAGGAAGGTCAGATTAGAGTTGTATTTGTGATTGATTCAGTCCAGTACATTTCACAGTGTTCCTTGTTGTTTTAAACCCTGAGACCTGTGTAGATTAGTCTTATCTGCAGAAACCCCTCTTTTATTTATGCACGTTGAGTAAAGCAGATGGATGGGAACTGCTGAGCGTCTCTGTCGTTCTCACATTTTTAACATTTCTGGAGAGAAATCTGAAAAATATTATCGGACTGAATTGGCGACCATCTGCTGTTGCCTTCAACAATTTTCGGTCATGCTTATCTTTCCAGAGTAAATGGTGACCGGTAGAAAATCTTGTCGGTTTCTGTGGTGACTCTAGGAATAGGCAGCTGTATGTGTGTGTGTTGGGCGGGGAAGCGTTTTTTTGTTTGTACCACTATTTGGACATTGTGTTCTTTCAGAACAGTGTAAAACTTTAGGAGAAATAACAGTGCATGGAGATAATTGGAAGTGGAAGGAGGGATAAATTAAGTATCAGTGGTGAAAAACAACTTTAAAGGAAACTTGAGGACATTCAAGCAGCTTTACTTTGCCCTCAAATGAAGTGTTTGAATATTCTGACTTTATAAAAGCAGCGATTTAAGGGCAGTGTGGTTCGTATAAGGTGTTGTAGTCATTAGGGTTTAAACTCATATGTCCCTACAGCAGCTGCAGAGGTGAAAGCTCTTTCATGTGTGCTGTACCACTTGTGGCAGTCCTCATCATAACAAGTTGCTCTTTTAAATTTCCATTTGACATATCCATGGTTATACCTGGTCTTACTCTTGCCTAGGTGTTTGCCAAGATGGCTGGTCAGTGCTGTTCTGTACTCAGCTCTCAGTTCTTCTAATGAGAGCATTGCACAGTACTGTATAAGGATGATGGGACTGGGTTTCTGTGCTCTGCTCTTTGCTTTATTTGGTAACTGGCAGGAGTGTTGAAGCTCTGCACTGTTCCTGCTGAGCTGACCTGGAATTTTCCACATGATGAGAACGTTGAGCTCCAAGACCCCCTGCCAGGTGCTTTTCATAACCAAGACTTGGCACTGCAGACACTGGGCCAGATTTCTGCTGCCTGCTTTGTACCCACTGTGTGGTTAGTGTGTGCCCAATCCAGCCCCTGGACTGTAATGTGCATCTCCACTCGGGCCTGATTCCTGCTCGTTTTCTTACTTTCTGTTCTTCAGATATGTTCCAGTTCACCATTACATGACAATTCCGTCTCCTGCATATTAGTGAGGTGGTTTACTTTTCTTTCTGGTACTGCAATTAAAGCCCCAAGAGGTTCATGAAATGGGTATTTCATCAGCTCTTTTAATAAACTGGGAAGGGTGAGAATATACAAGTCTGTGTGGCTTTGGCGTTGTATGCCTGCGATGTTGTGAATCACAAGAGAGTGTAGGAGAGCATGCCTTGGTCCAGTCAATCCAGTCAATGCAGGAATGCATTGGGACCATAGACTGCCCCTCTGGCTGCAGACAGCATTGATCCACTGGCAGCGAGGAGATAGTTCAGGGTCACCCTGGCAAGGCTATTAATAGCTGTTCTTAGCATCCAGGTTTATAACTTTTTAATGATGTGCTACCCTGTGATATATAGAGCAGTTTCAGTAAGACCGCTAGACTTCCTACATGGGAATACTTTACTTTCAGTGCTGATACTCGATATGCAAGTGAAGAAAAGAAAATTACATTTCCTGCAGTCATCTACTAAATGTTCCACACTTGTATTCCAGGTTGCCACTGGGCGGGATGAGCCTTAGATTTTGGCTGCAAACACAGTATCTGCTTTGGTTAAATGTTATAGAATTCAGACCCCCACTTTTCAAAGATGTAAATTTATTTATTTTAGGCATAATCGTTACGTTTTCCTGGCCATGTGTTACTAGGGTTAAATCCTGATGAGAAAAACAATGGGAGGCTGGTTTCTTTATTCAGAGATATATGCTGAAATCAAGTCAAATGAAGCCCACATGTTGGTGAGCTTAAATATACCCTCAACTGCTTTGGGTTTGGGTTTCCAGGTTATTTTTTGTCTTATTTCCCAGTTTCCCTATTGAGAATATGTGTGATTTGAATCTGGTGTGCATCAGTCTTCGCAGATGGGAGTCTCAGAAGTTATTTTTAAACTTGTTTTAAACTGTGTGAGAATCATCATGTTGTGTGTGTTATTTTTTTTTCAAGATTTACCATTAACTGTCAGAACTGTTACCCTCATATATTCAATGTGACAGCTCAATAGAGTCTGTCATTCTTTATCCAAATGAGCTCATGCCATTGGTGACAGTGGGTCACTTTTTTTGCTGACCCAATGAGGAACCTTTTAGACTAACCTTTGGTACAGCATGGATCGCCTTAGTATTTATACATAGGTTTTGTTGATTGAATATTGCTGAAATCAAACAATTTCGAATTAACCCCTTTCCCTTAAGGTCAGTTAAAATGCCAGCCAATTACAGTGATATCAAACCTAGGGACCTTAATTTTCCCTTAGTTTGTCACTTTAGTGTGTTGCACAAAGCAGCTTAACATGTTAGCATGAACAGTGGTGTTAAAGGAGAAATAATTCATATATCTATGCATATAGTCATTTAGGTTTAAGGTGTTTTATGCAACTCTGCCTTCATGGTCTTGGAAAATAATTACTGTGCATAGCGCTCTTTTCAACAGCACTTCTAATGTAAAGACTTTGTGCTTCTAGTTGGAAGAATGCTGGAGGGAGTCAAAAAATAAAAAATTTCAAGGGAGGTAAATTTCATAGATACATAAAAAATGAAACATCTGTCTTCCTAACTGTTGGACTCTGACGCAGCCTTTGAAGCAAGTAGGGAAAAAAAATCCAAAAATAAAATGAAAAACATAAATCTTTCCTGAGATTTAAACTTAGATGCGTCCTGTCAAAATAGATTCTAAAATCATGAGGTTTTATTTTTTTAAATGTCTCTTTGATAAGATAGTAGTTTAATTAAAGACACTTTGGGCGGGCATTTCTGATCATCTCAGTCAGCCCACTCAAGGATCTTAGCGCAGTCTACCTCCTGCGTCCTGGTATTTTAAAACCAGGTTTTTTTGTGAACTATTCAGACAGTGTTTATACGGTTCCAGTAAGTAACCCAGCGTTCCATTAAATGAATGTAAACTGCGCTTTGGCAACAGTGGGATGCTAATGAGGCTTTGTATACACAGCTGCAGTCTCTTAATGCCTAGTCTAGTCATAACCTGTTAAACTGCCAGGTGATAAATGTTCTTAATTGTACCTAAGGTTAGGTTTTTGGAACCCTAGCGGTTAGAAAAAAGGGAGGGGGGAAGAAAAAAAGTTTAATTTTAAGTTTGACGCAAAACCTTAACTTAGTGTTGTGGTACAAGGAGTACATCGGCCGAGTACGTTTTCAGATGGTTGAAACCATTTGTCGGGATTTAGCAGATAAGGCTTGAGTTACAGTCAGGGTATCAAAACAAGGTAATTCACACTTTGTTCCAAATGCAGCTATTACATAACATTTTTATATTAAAACATCTGAAAAAAAAAGGTAATTAACTATTTTGGTCTTTAGTCATT